TTATTCAAAATGGGTGAGCCTGGAGGACATTATGCTGAGTGAAATATCTCAGTCGCAAAAGGACAAATATTGCACAGTGCCACTGTTGTAAAATGGGATTGATATCAGAGTTGGGGTAAGACTGAGAAAAACTGGATAAATTGTGTATACTGCACTGAAACAGATGAGGGAGTGAATAATTTAAAAGTAGTGTATGATAGGGTATTATGGTTATCACAAGAGTCCACAATTAAGGTTGCATAGTGGAATGTATTTGGGGCAGTGGGAGGGGTGCATGTTGATTGTGTACCAGGGAAGGAGTGTTTCTTTTACTTTTGAAAGAGAGGAGCGAACTTGGGGGGTGGGCAAGGGCTGGGCGGGGAGAGAAGTGCAGCAATGAATGAATGGAAATCCAAAATCTCTGTAAATGCTCATTAAAATTATTTTTTTAAAAATCTGCCATATAAATTCACCTCCATGTAAAAACAGCATTCTCCAAGAGGCTTGTACCAGGCAATGGGGTTTTTATAGTCCCCAGTGTGTCTTTGTGCTCTGGTGTCCCGCCCATCGGCTTTGGAAGCCAACTCGTGGGGTCACCTCAGAATCACTTGGAAATTGCATTTATCAAAATACACTTGCTCTTTGCCCTCCTTTACCTACTCAGATATCTGCCTGGTTGAATACATGTGCTTGGAAAACGCTTTCCAGGCGCATTTAAAATATCCCTCCCCTTTTGAAAGACATTCCTTTATAGACAGGGTTTCTTTAAAAAAAAAAAATTCAAATAAATGGCAAGTGGAATTATAATCAGTATTTTAAAAGTATTGATACCTTTTCTTGCCTTTCCTACCCCATAATCCTTAAATAGATGTGTTATGACCTGGCTATGCTTTCTGCAGGAATGATCTGCTGCTGTTAAGTTTAGAATTACATATTATGATACTGAGAACTTTTCATTTGGAAAAACTGGGTTTAATCTTCCTAATTGTATACCTTTCACTAAATAAATTTGGAGAGATGTCCTTTACAGGGGAATTTGACCTGCATGGTAAAGACATATGATTGAAAACCAAAACAAAACTGGACTCTTATGAAATGTTTTTAATGGGGAAATAGACTGCTAACTTGCTGGGAGACTGTGGTGAAGGGGATTAAATAATAATGGAGGGAAAAAATGTATACGTGTTGATTTTGTGGCTAAAGCGGTTTGAATCAAGCCAACAGTTGAGCTGAGCAGCCATTGTGCATGTGTTTAAAGCCTTTTCAGTTCAGCTTTAATTTGGCAGCCATTTTGTGTAATTGCACTCACAAAGCAGGGATCTGTGATTTTAGAACACCTAAGCAGCCATGGTATTTATAACTTAATCACAGGATCTGATATTACAGATTAGGGAAGAAATTGGGAAATAATGTGATACAATTGGTATATTGTGTATTTTTCTTTTTATTAGTGTGCCGCTCCAACAAAAGCCCCTGGGTCTGTTTGACTTGTTCAAGTGTCCACTGCGGAAGGTAGGTGACGTACTTATTGATTCACTACCCTACTTGCTTTTAAAACCTTGTCTTTAAGCTTTATACCAGAGTTTTATTGACCTGAGCCTATTTAGGACCATTGCTTAATCATAGTGTGTAGGTCTCTGTGTAGCATCCCTCGTGCAGTAGGATAGAATCCCTCTGTTTAGTGAGTGATACAGCTGGGGAAAACCTAGAAGGAAAAGCCCTTCATGTAGATGACTCAGAAGAGTCAGCTTGATCAAGATATTTGACTGGAAAATGAAAGATGAACTTTGAAGTGATTTTTAAAACTTTCATTAGGAAAAAATTTAAGCATACACAAAGCAGACAGTTAACATAGCGAAACCTTGCGCTCCCATCACCTTATTTCCGCAGTTATCAACACATGGCCAGTCTTGTTTCACCCATTACCTTAATCCCTGCCTTTACTTACTTATTTTTGAAATGAATCCCAGACATAGTATCATTCTTAAAAAAAAAGAAATTAAAAACCCAACCAACTGTAAAATATTTACAGAGGAAGGAACCCTTTGAAAGTGATCTCACTGTAGAGTTCATGATTAATTCCAGCCTAACATGTACCAAATGTTCCATTGTTCTATTAAAAGATTTTGTTTCCAATTTACTTAGCATTCTTCTTCCTTAGTTCAAGCCTGAGTATTTCCTCCAAGTCCTTGGCTTTAAAATGATATTGCCTAAATACTTTAGTAGCTCTTTTTTTCTAGCACAAACTTAAGTATATATCAACCTCTCTATATTTTAGCCTGGTAGATGCACATTTATTTTCACTGCTCTTTTTGGGTTTACTTCAGAAATTAATGGCAACCAGCAGATGAAAAATGTATTCAGTCATAAAGGCTGAAATCAATATCATATTTATCTGGAACATTTTCCCGTTGTTGTTTTCAAACCTTCAGTACATGAAGAAAGCATCTTTGTTTGGTTAACTTTTGATTTTCCACGTGTTTGGTCCTGGAATTGAGTATTTTTTCCCATTGTACTCTAAGAGTACCTTAGGAAAATGTTGACTGCATATCTTAATTGTGGCTGTTGTGGTTTTGAAATCTCTAGGATTTGGGGAACCTGAAAATACTTTGTACAGATAACATTTTTTTTTAAAAAAAGAAGAAAAGTAGAAGCACTTAAATTCTTCATTTGAAGAGCAGATTCCTCTCCTAGATTTTGAGAGGTGAGAATTATAATACAATAAAATTTATTTAGCTCTGTTCTCCACTTGTCTCATATGCTCTACACCCTAAATCAAGAAGGTCGTATGCTGACAGAAAGATCTGGCAAGCTCTTAAAAATTAGAGAGATTAATATTCTTATAACAAGCAACAAACAATTTTCTAAGTATATTTTTGAAAAAGAAATTGGACATTTTCTAGGCTCTGCAGGTGGGCTGTTTTCAATTAGAAGCAATCTCTAATTTGGAAATTCAACATAGTTTCAGATAAATTAAAGAGATAATGAGAGTAGCCTGCATGTGGACCTCCATTTTACATAATGGATTGGTAAGTTGTCTAACATCTTGGATCAAGTATTCTGACTTTTCAGTGATTTTTAAACTATTTTCCTGAATTCTTTTAGCTAGGGAAAATAGTTTATCAGTAGCATATTTAGTTATACATTCTGTTAGTCTCAGGACATCCCATTTAACTTGTCTTTTGAGTTTTATAGATTATTGTTTGAAATATGTATTTTACATACATGGCAAGATACTGCCTCTTCTGCAGTGGAAGTCAGAGTGTCTCGTTAAAATCTCAAACTAGATAAGGGAGATACTTGCTTTTTATGTTAGCTAGCTTAAACAAAACTCTTTTAATTTCTCACTGATATATTTGGATATTAGCCAGACCACAGCTAATCTTAGTGTCAATGATAATCACATTGCTTATTTTATTACTAACTTGTATATCACCCTTTAAATATCTAGTACATTTAGACACTACAACTTTATTATTAAATATACTTTAGACAGTTTACCAATTTTTAAAGATTAGAAAGTGGTAATGCCCTTTCTTATTGTTTTTTTTTTACTCTGCAGATACGTCCATAAACATTACTTTTGTTTTTGATGGTGTACAGTATTAGAAAGATGCTGTATATAAGCATAGGAAACTATGTAGAAACTAAGCTAAAGTAGTTGTGCAATGAGATGACTTAGAGTTTACTTTTTAAAAAAAAGTTGAATATCACATGTTTCCCAATTTATGGAATAACATGTTATGCCAAATGTGTGCTTGATGTGACCACTTCTAAGCAATTGTTTGGATAATGAATAAATAGTAGTTTAAGCATATAAAAGAGAATACTAGTAAAAAGAATTACATTCAATCATTTTATTATGTGCCATGGATTATTTTAACTGCACAACAACGCATGAGATAGAAATACTATTATCTCCATTTTATAGATGAGGAGAAAGCAGCCCAGAGGGGGTTACTTGGCCAGGCTGTGAGAAATTCCACTTTTGAATCCAAGTAGTTTAGTGTCTGAGCTTGTATTCTTATTATTTTACTTTAAACATTATTTTAGTCTACTTTTGGGACAGAGAACTCAAGTACCTTCAGATGTTGTGTCTACTGTTATGAATACAATGATGTTAGTCTGTACTCTTGAGTTGAAACTGACTAGTAGCTGATCCTCTAGTGAGTTTTCAAAGGCAGTAAATCACATAGGAGGAGATTGCCCATCTCTGTCCTGCACAGTAGATTAGAACCATATGCCTTTGAGTTAGCGGCAGAGCTCCTTACCACTAAGTCACAAGAGTTCCCTAAGAATATAATAGAAGAAAAAGTTGAGCCTGTGAGTTGAGGATAGTGGTATCCCTAGTACTTCTGGCTTTCCTGGGTTGTAGAGATTAGACTTGAAGTTGGTCCTCCCTGCTTTCTACAGCTAAGGTAAGTGTTGCTCGGTCGTTAAGGTGCCTCATGCTGAAAATGTCATCTTCACGTCTCAGAACCTGCTTATTTTGGCTATGTTTAACATTTATTTTGACTGTTGTGACTTTTCAATTTGTGTTTGCCTGCCTTATATATTGACTTATATTTGGGAACTAGGAATTTGTTTGTTTGTTTAAATGAGAGTCTTTACAGTAGTGGCCAATTACAACATTGGGTAGGATTTATCTGTAGGTGAATTTAGGTACATATTATATCTATATGGACAATATTTTGCTTATTGTAATAAAATTATTTAATAAACCAGAGTTTGAAAGCCTTACATGTTTTTATGGATATAGTCATCTTTCTACTATATTTGCCTATGTAGAGAAATGATAGTTTATATAAGTTTGAAATGATTTGTGTTTTCTTTGGATCATTTATAAATAAACTCCTTTCACTGTAAGTTGAGCTGATGATTTAAGTGCTCAAGTAAAGGTCTGAAGCCACATCGATTAAAAAAAAAAAGGTGAAAGATTATCTCGTTTCAAATCTGAAAACATTTTCTATTCAAATGTGAGAACATTTTATAGTAAGCAGAATCAGAGTAGAACATGTGACCCTGTGGGAAGCTGTTGAATAATTTAGTTTGCAAAGCTTTTCTTTGGTAACAGCCTGAATTGTTAATTGGTAAAAAAAGCAATTTTTAAAAAGAAAAAAAAGCAATAGCAAAAGAATCAGCAAAGGAGTTTGATAGTATTAATAGTATTGAAACTGATTTGCATAGTTAATGTCTTTCCTTGCTTGACCCTTGTTTTGTGTATAATTAAAAGTTGACTGTAATAGTGGCGCATACATTAAGTGTTCAGCATAAGAAATCACTACATGATTGAATGCGTATATAAGAGTATTTTTTTCTCATTCTAATTTGATTAACATGTAATTTTTCAGCTACTTGAATTTTGAAAGCAATATTTAGATTAAAATTCATTTTCATTTGGTTTTTTGTAAGGTATGTGAATGGCCATGCAAAAAAACATTATGAAGATGCACAAGTACCCTTAACCAACCATAAAAAATCAGAAAAGCAAGAGAAAGCTCAGCACACAGTGTGTATGGATTGCAGTAGCTACAGTACATATTGGTAAGTTACTATTTTCTGAGAATGATGTCCCTTCCTGTGTATGGGCAAGCTTTCTCTTCCCCACTCCCTCCTCCCAGCTTCCTTGGGCTCTAAGCTGTTGCCACAACCCCCTTTCAGTCCTCTTTAAAAGTCACAGGGGCCTGGAGCCATCAGGAATGCCTGCCCTTATTCATTCAGATTTTACTTTGTATTGTTCCTTTTCAGCTGCTAGGCTGCCTCTTCACCCCAGCCCCTGCTTCTTGTCCATCCCTGTAAGCTTCAGGGAAATGAGATGTGTCTTTGTTACTATTTGTTTTCATTCCTTTTCTTTTTTATTTTTGCTTTTATTTGGAGGATGAAATGATAAAAGCCTGTATTCCCTACTGCCATTTAACATTTGGTCATGTAAGTGTCAAAATTTTCAACCCTTCATTTGAGAGAAGAAAAAACCCCAGTTCTGGCAGTTTTTCTTCTCCCAGCAGCAGCTTCATTCTGCTTTTTTCTTTACCTGGAGGTAAATGTCGAGGATGTGACGTTTTTTTAGCCTTTTTTTTTTTTAAAGTATCTCGTTCTTTAAAATTAAGTTGGAGGCGCAGTTCTTTCTTTGTACGTAATATACATACCTGTGTCATAGAGATGACAATAAAGAGCAGTTCTTGTGACTACTTATAACGAGTCTAGGTTAGCCTAGAAGTGATACTTAACAATTTATATCCATTTAATATGCTCAAAAAGTTAGTATATTTTGCATTTTAACTTCAGTATAAAACAAATTGCTTTCCTTAAGCAGTAATTTGGGATGAATAAGCATTCTTTGTTTTCATGAATTTGCTTGCCATTCAAGAGATTGTTGACATTGAAGAGGGGGAAAAATCATGTTTACATTTAAGGAGTCCCTTTGGAAGGTTTTCCCTTGCCATACAGCCCATGAGTGTCCCTGGAGGCCTTACTGGACAGGGAGAGAGACTTCAGTTTCAGTTATATTTTAATTCACACTTTTTGTTAAGGTATGCTCATCCTTTCTACATTGTTTGCAGTTGATAATTATATTGGAGAAAGGTGTCCATAAAAAGGAGGAAGGAAAGGTCAGTAGTTTCCTAGTGATTTTAAGTTTTTACAGGTTTAACATTATTAAATTATAGCTATTGAATGAAATGTCTTAAGGTCTGGTTATTTAGATCACTACCATTTCAGTTTTCCCTTGTGTAGAAGAAGGTGTACAGGCCTAGAATCAAGATAAGCTAGAAGACTAAAAATGAAATGAAAAATTAGTGTTTTCCCAGGATTTGCACACTTTTTTTGTTGTTTGCAGTTCAGAAACACCCCTTCCAATGAACATTAAGCATTAAGGAGACTGTTGAAGTATTTTCATTTGTATTTCCCTTCACAGGAAACATACATGAAAATGACACAGTGTCTAAATTAAAGAGCCATGTGTCTCTGTGTGGTTGTAAATACTGCTACTTTATACATCAAAAAATAAGATTATTCTTGGCATTTTGCAATCATTTATTTAAACCATGCTAACCTATATATTCTAGATGTTGAAAACATTCACTCTTGGTTTTGTTTATTTAAATTGTTTTTTTTCTTCACTGTGCAGTTTTATTTATTAACCATTCAAGTACAGTAGTATCTGGTAAAATTGGGACAGAATGGGATTTAAAAGTGAACAGATATTCAGCATCTAACATTTTTTTAAAGAGCCACCACATACTCTTTGCACAAACGTGTTTCCAGAGCCGCTACAGTACTAGCCATTAACCCAGTACACCAAGTACACTGAAGTAGAAAATATGCAACAAGAAAAATAGCTATGTCAGAACGACTTCAACACTTTAGAAAAAGAGTAAAACACTTTTCAGTTTCTCCCCTTTAGCCCCTAAAACACCATCTTACAGTCTGATCTACCTATACAGTCCTACATCAGCTTCTAGAATATTTGGGGGGGGGGGAGGAGAAAATGACCCTGGCCAGTACTCTTTGGGTATTTAGAAAGGGGAAGGGGAGAAAGTCAGTTCTCAGAGCAAATTAGTCAGCTTCAGTTTCATTAGCAGAATCTTTGGATTCTTTGTCCTTCCACACTTCTTCAACGTGCTTATCCTTTTCTTGCAAACGCTCCAGTTTAAAAACCGTGTGTGCCTCTTGATTCTCTTTGTTGGCTACCATTTTGTGAATCAGTTTTTCTTCCACCATTTTACTTAAGTTGTTGTTTTCTTCTCTTGCCTTCTGAAGTACTTCTTTCTCATGCTCTCGTTTCTCAGCAAGCTGCTTCAAGACCTCTGCTTCATGAGACTTGAGTCTTTCTTCTGCAGCTTCTAATTTTTTCTGCATTTCCTCCAGAGAAAGATCCTTCTTCTTTGGAGGGGAAAGGGGGAATTCTAGCACAGATTTCTTTTGACCGTGGGCTGAGGATCAGCTCAGAGGCCTGGCCTGAGGCGCATTTCTCCAGCTCTTTGACCTGGATGTCAGAAGAGGCCATGGTGAAGAGAAGACAAGAGACTGGCAGTGTATTCTATGCAATCCACTGGTATGGCAAGTCCGAAGCCAGGAGCGCTCTCTTGAGGTGTGAACCCCTAAAGTAGACTTACAGTGAGGGAGTGAGGGTGGCAGCGGCTCTGGGGTGAAAAGCTTGAGCCCCTGGTAGTCCACAACCCGACTCTTAATGCTGATGTTCCTTCAGACAAAGGGAGCCCCTGTCAGGGCTTATTTAAAAATTATTTCTGCAGTCTTTGATTTTCAGTTAGCTGTGTGTACAAATTAAAGTTCAGAAACACAATTTAATCTTCATATACTGTTAAGTTTGTGATAGGTTTTATTGCTATTTGTAAGATTAGGAGGAAACTTCTTTTTTCATTAAAGCATTTTGTTGCAATTTAGGCTAATGTTTCTATAGTAAGTTAGTTTCCCCAGTATGATTCTGCACTGTGCCAGCATGTCCCCCTTTCTCCCTGGGGTCCCTGTTTGGGTTCACCTGGTTTCCTTTTCCTCCTGTGTTGGCTTTGGCCGCATGGATTGTCCCGTTGGTCTGTGTAGCTGATTTTTCTGAGGAACACATTCTTCATGATGTTTGTGTACGAGTCTTGCCCATTTGCTGGAAGGTGAGCCCTGGGAGCAAGCGTCTGCAGTTCCAAATGAAGTTTCTCTCAGGGAAGCAGTGTCCAGGATTCCACTGGTCTCTGACTAGAGTAGTAACTCATGAGGGAGATTTTAAGAATTTTGGAGTGGAATTATGTTCACAGGAATCCTTATTTATTTATGTATAGGCTCTGTACTTTTACTTTTAAAGTCTTTATATTTAGCATTTTGAGGTAATATTCTTATGTAGAAATTGGGACTTTAATTTGTTTTATTTTTGCACAGTAGGCTCAAGCACGTGTCATTTCATGACTGAATTGGAAGTAAGTAGCAGATCTTAAACCTTGGGAAATACAAGTTGTGGTGGAGGCTGCTTGGCTATTTGCCAGTCTTTTGTGTGAAGTTATACAGAGCTGCAAGTGTGTGGATGCCCGGAGCTACTGAGACACAGGAAGGGAACTGCAGCTGGCCACTTATCATCTCATTTGTGGGTTTCATAGCAAAATGTAAGGGAATCAGCCTTAACATTCCCCCCCCTCCATGTTTCACTATAATTAAGAAACAGAAAAGATTTCCTTTCTCTCTCCCTCTCCTTCCCTGTGTGTGTGTGTGGGGGGGGGGGGTAGGGGGGTGTTTTCCAAAGCACTTTCATAATTTCATTTTAGTGTATGAATTTTCATTATGCACACACTTCTTGGGGTTTGACAGAATGATTTGCTTTAGAGATAAAATATTGGTATGTTGGGCTTAACCTATTTGATTATGAATTATGGTCCTTGTAGTCAGACTGTGCTGAGGTTAGTTGATGTTAAACCTTTTTCTCAGTGTGTTCAGTGCTCCAGAAAAGTTGTAACACCCTTAAGACTTACATCTTTTCCATCTTTATTTTTACCCTACACAGAATCTACCCTGTCCTGTCCTTGCGTAAGCTCGTCCTTTATGGACTTATGACAGATCTCTGCCTCTCTTCTTCAAGTCTCAGTTGTAACTGGATGTGCTCTTGCTTGGACACATAGTTCTTAAGCTACTTGTGATTTTCTGCTGGCACGTTTAATTATTGGTAAATATTGAAGGCTGTAGGAGCCACATCTCAGGTCTTCACTCTGCTCATGCTGCTCAGTGTCTTGTGCAGAGTAGATAGTCTGTGGTTTGAAAGATTGCATGTTGTTAACTTCTGAAAATGACTTCTGATGATCTTGAAGGACCAAAAAGCCACAGAGCATTTGCCCTGAAGATCTAAATCATGGTATTGTTGTGAGGGTGCATCAAGTCAGTTCAGACTCATCGCAATCTCATGCAGAGAGTATTTCTGCCTCATGGGGTTTTCTAGGTGATAATCTTTTTTTTAAAAAATTTAAATTTATTATTAATTTCAGCAAAATTTACAGAGACTTTGGATTTCCATTCATTCATTATTGCACTTTTCTCCCCTCCCAACCCTCCCCCCTAGTACACTACCCTCTTGGAAAAGTAAAAGACAAATTCTTTCATTGTTTTACAAACCCTCCCCCAGGTCCACTCCACCATGTAGCCTTAGCTCTAGACTCCTGTCATGACAAA